TATCAACGGGATGAAAGAAGTTGGTGGATGATCATTCCTATCCACTAAGTGACATAGAAGTTTTTTACTCTCTCTCTCTCTCTCTCTCTTCTCTCTCTCTCTCTCTCCTCTCTCTCATCTCTCTCTCTCTCTTATATATATATTATATATATTATATATATATATATATATATATATATATATACATAATATATTATACTATATAAGTACTATATATATACTCTCTCACGTTAGTATATAAGTATATATAAGTATATTCTTCTCCTATAATAGTTATAAGTATGTATAAGTATCACTCACTCTTATATAAGTATATATATGTATGAAGTTGCCTCTCCGTAATATATTTATAGGTAATATATAGTATAATTTACTGTCCTCTTATATAAGTAGTATATAAGTAATAATCTTCTATATACATATTAATTAATGTTATACTTATACAAGAGGAGTTATACTATAATAGTATATATTGTATTCTAAGAGAGAAAGTATATGTGTAGTGTATATATATTATGACATATAAAATAAAAATTTACTATTCCGGTCGGTCGCCGACGTCGGGGCCGGAACCCGAGCCAGAGGCTTGGCCAGGTTTCAGCCGGGCGGTTCGACTTGCTTTGGCCGCACCCCGCTTTTTTACAGCCTACTAATAATAACTATTAGTATTTCTTCTTAAAAAAAACTCTATGCCTTACACGACAATTAAGAATTAAAAACCATCGAGATCCCTAAAATTTGAACAGAAAGGGTAAATTTAGAAAGAACCATTTAAGTTAGGACATTATCAGAACCCCTTAACTTTGAAATTAGAACACAATCCACTACAAACAAAAAATTTTGGGATTATCCAATTCTCATTTTAATTTTTAAGATTTTATCAGCAAAAACTTTTTTAACTTTTGAGCTTTTTAGTGAGAACAAGTTTTTCTTATATTTTAAAGTTAAGAGGGGTTTTCTCAATAACCGTCCAAGTTAAGGAGGATTTTAATGAACTTTATCCAGCAGAAAAAAAAAAAAAAAAATTTTTTTATACATGTCGTGTATTGATACCTAGTGACATAGAGTAAATACTAGGAGGGGGGGGGGTTGGGTTGGGAGTATTTTGGGATAATTGGATAATTTTGAGGATCATGTTCATAGGTTATTCATTGGCACAATGGAACAGGATAATAATGTTTTTGTGTTATTGTTTTTATTGGAACACTACTAGTGAGACAATTTCAGCCCACTTAAGATAAAATTACTCACTCATAATACAAAATTTTGTCCAATAGTAAAATTTGTACCCAATCCTTCTATATTTTGGAACATATTGATTCACTTTGAAGGCATTGGGGATATTGTAAATATAGTTTTTGTATATTTCACTATACATGCAATTATATTTATAAATATATCTGACTGATATATAAGATAAACATATATCATATTTTAATGATATAATTTAATAATATTATTAATAATATTATATAATATAATTATAATAATGTATTTATTATAAATTAATTATTAATAATAACATATAATTATATTTATTACATATATTAATCTATTAATTTAAAAGTTAATTAGTAATATATATAACGTATTTTATATATTTATTAATATTTACTAGTAACATAGTATTAATATTTAATACTCATTGTACAGTAAACATATATTAATAATATATATATAATAACATATATTAAATATTCTAATACATATATTATAGTATTATGTAAATTATATATTTATAATATATTAGTAATGATATGAATAACGATTTATTATAATATTATATAATATTTAATAAATATATTATTAATATATATTTATTATATTATTATTTTATATAAATATTATTATATTATTATATAAACTACTATTTAATTATAATATATAATTACTAATATCAGTAAATATGATGATTATAAAAATAATTAATAATATATATTGAAATATATAATATGATTAACTATAAATGATACCTTTTAATTATTATGTATTAACAATTTATTATATATATATAAGTATATATACCTATATATATATATATATATATATATATATATATATATATAATATATGATATATATATATATATATATGTATATATATTTATTTTATATAAAATTTTCAAAAATATACATTGATAAGTAAATATTATAATCATTTATAAAGTACGTATATCCTATGATCACTATATTATAATATATTAATTAATAATATATTATAAAGTATTCTTATAATATATTAAATTCATATATTATATCAATATTATATAGATGTACATAACTAATTATATGATTATTAAGCTAGTATTTTTTTTTTCTAAATTATTGTTTACTAAAACCAAATTTGACTGAACTTTAAAGAACATTACCTGTGAAGGTTTGAGCTAGTCTTCATCAGAATTAGTTAGGAACTTGTCACGAAAGCATGTAGCCAAGTCAGCGCAGAAAAAATAACATAATAAATGATGTAGCCAAGTCATCTTATAACAAAAGATGTGCACCGAATGAAGCAATCCGTTGTAGTCTAGTTGGTTAGGATACTCGGCTCTCACCCGAGAGACCCGGGTTCAAGTCCCGGCAACGGAATTTATTTATTTTTCTCGTTTTTTATCCCCTGTTTTGGTTGAAGCTAGCATTACGTGAGACATTTTTGCTAATGCTCTTTCTAACCCTATTGAGTTACGAATCGAGCCGCTTTCAGATATTTTGTTACAGCCCAAACCCGACCGATCAACGTCTAACACGCAATCGAGTCACAGCCACACACGTGGCGCGGTCCCACGAGCAGCCAGATTCAAGCCCGCACGCGAATGTCGACTCCCACGGATGCGACGCCCAGTGGGTTCGGGTCCCACCGCGATCTCTGACCGGGCGGGTCGACACATGTGGCGTGGCCCAACGAGCGACCAGATTCACGCGCACCCGAATCTATCCACGGACGCGACGCCCAATGGGTTCGGGTCCCATCGCAATCCCTGACTGGTGGATGGGGGCGATCCCCTTACACGCTGGTTCACATGGTCTCTAGGACCCATTTTGAACCCGCTTGTCGTTTTGGGTTTCACCCTCTTGGATCAAGTCACCTGTTTCAAGCATCCGAGGTCCTAATCGCATGGTTCGCTAGTTGGGTTTTGGAAACAAGATACACAGAGTTGAAAATTGCGGATAGACCCCTGTACAAAGCGTAGATAGACTTTCTGCGGTTCTATTGGTGAGGACAGATCCCCGAGTGAATTCTTTTTTTTCCCCCACTCTTTTAAGAGTTAAAGAATATTCAATTGAGGGGTCAATCCGTACTTAAGCGAATGATACAAGAAGTCTATCTGCAACAACAGAAATCTGAAAAAAACCTGTCCGCAATTGCGCGATAGTATATGGGGACTGCTTGCAGTTCACCCTATTAGTAAACTTATCATAATTGAGCATCTTTTGTATAGAATAGATGGTGAAAGAGAATAGCCATTGTTTTTTTTTTGTTATTTAATGGGACAAATAGACCATTTGAGGGTAAATGAGTCAAAACAATAATAATAATAGTCTCTGGAGGGGTCTATATGCAACACCATAACTACAAGGGGCGTGCCCGCAATTGGGCGAGGGGTCTGTCTGCAATTAGCCCTCTGTCCTATGTCATTACTCTCTTTACCAAGGGACGTGACGCCATTGTTCATCATGCTTAGCTCTACACACTTCACCATAACTCAAACAGGAGGAGTTAGTTAACACTTTGGGATGTGTTTGTTTCTTTGGAGTGAAAAGATGGAAACTGATGTACCATATACGGGTCTGTTTGTTTGGCCGAGAAACTAAGAAAAAAAAAATCAAAACACCCGAAACCCCAATGTAAAGGTGTTTGATTTCCTTTTCTTGTGTTTAGTTGAGAGAGGAAAAAAAGAGATGTTGTGCCTGTGAGACTCACCCACTAATCATAAGATAATAATACAATGACTCACAAATTTAAGAAAACTCATTTCCTCCTAAAAAGCCATGAAATACGCATGAAAACACGAAAATGAATCCCACGGTCTGTTTTCCAGGAGTCCATGAAATGAACCACACAGCCCATTGTGGGCCACATCCATGCGGGGCAAGGGCCCACGGTCTCTGCGATAAGTATCTCTATCCCCCTCATTCTATTCCTCTTCAGTTCGCAATAATTCCGATCTCTTATTCCCCTCAATCCTCTTCACTCACTCTCGGAAGTGTGAACCTCGTATACGAACGTATATTATTCTCCTCTGCTCTGATCACCAACTCTTCTGCTCTTGAAACTAAAAGCTTGAAGAAATCAGAAGTAGAAAAGGACTGTGAATACTTGCGAGGTACGGCTAGCTCACTTCATCTAGTTACTTCTCTTGGGCTTCATACCTGGTTCTCTGCGGTTAATTCTCATGTTTTTGTTGCCATTTCATGTTTAAACAAATCTAGGACCTTATATAAAAAGTTCTTAATTTTATATTCATCTCTATCCTTTTTAAAGCTGAACATAGTCCACAGTCCCAAAAAAATCTTTCCGTAAAATCCTACCCTGAAATTGCCAGTTTAGAGGAGGGATTCATTGTGAAAAATACTCTTTTGGATTGTTTAATATGTAAGGAGGAGAGAATAATGAAAAAGACAAAAAAGGAACCATGAGAAGATGTTTATAAAGGACAGAAGAGAGTTGGAGGACATAGTTAGCTAGCGTGGCACTATTGTAGCATAGAGAAAGTTTTTTATATAATGGTATAGATTTTCTTCGTCATAAAAATCTATAATTAAAAAATAAATCTTCATCAAATATCTTATTGGAGCTTAAAATTTTCATTTTAGAATAGTAACACATTCTCATTCTATTTAGATTTTTTTTTGAAAGAGTTACTTTGCGCATATAAAAAGAAAGTAAGATATTAGTATATTTAAAAATTTTTTCATAATTTTGTTTCCAATTTATAATACCATTATCTCTGGAAGCTGAGGCTAATTACTATTGGTCCCATTTCTTGGTCCGAGTTCAGGTCCCTCCATAAATGGAAGAAGAAGCCCGCCATAATAAACCCCACCCTCCTCCTCTTTTGATCCCTCCTTCCCTCGCGACTCCCGCGGCTCCCTCGAAATCTTCACCCCCTCAACCTTCACCAACCAACCCCCTCCCGACACGTGGCACTCCCCAAGGCCCATCGCCGCAGCCCAGCGAGTCCGCCCAGAGTGGGGCCTGATCCTGAACACGGACTCCGAGACCGGAAAGCCCAAGGGAGTCTCCGCCCTGGTCTCGGACGAGAAGAAGAGAGGATCCAATGGCTCTTATCGGAGCTCCGAAGAATCCGACGGAGGCGGAGGAGGAGGACGGAAGGAGAGGGTCGGGATGCCTAGGGTTTCGGAGGAGCTGAGGGAGGTCTTGTCGGCATTTCAACAGTCATTTGTTGTGTGCGATGCGACGGAGGGCGATTATCCTGTGATGTACGCGAGTGCTGGGTTTTTCAAGATGACTGGGTATTTGGCGAAGGAAGTTATTGGGAGGAATTGGTACGTATGTTTGAATTTTTTTTTTTGTTGATTTTTTTGATTTTTAGGATAACTTGCAGTTTGGTGTCATAAAGCTGCCGCCTTTCTCAAATTCGACGCGCCAAAGTTTATTTTTGGCACTTTGATGCTCCAGGCCTTCTTTTTGAATTTAAACTTTATGGCAGCAAATTAAGAGCAACTTATCCAATTTGAATAGGACGTTTGGTGCACTAGAATGTCAAGAATAAACTTTGCGGCATCAACAATTTGAAAAGGTGATAATTTTATGACACAGAGTGCAAATTATTCTTTGGTTTACTTAGGATTTTTAACTATGTACATTGCACGTCAACCTATTCGCAAGTTTACCTCCAAAATCTAGATATTTGTTTTTTTTTGATAGAAAAATCTAGATCTTTGTTAGCTAATTAGTTTATCCCTAGATTCTACTACATTGAGTTAAAACCCCCCAAAACTTACTGTCACTAGTTTTTTAATGATAGGAGGAGGAACTTTCAGCTAACCAGCTAATACAAATTTGAAAACCCCTTTTATTTATTGCTTTTTAAATTGTACATAATTCCCGTCATCTATAACTTTAATAGTAGTTGTCATCTATAACTTCAATCAATTTCAAAGGCTTTTCCCATATATTCTTTACACCTTCATATTTCACTTTCGATATTCTCTTCATGGATCTAAGCCATTCTTTATGCAGTCGGATTCTTCAAGGTCCTGAAACTGACACTGCAGAGATTACTAAGATAAGAGAAGCACTGGCAGCCAGTACAAACTATTGTGGTCGCATCTTGAACTATAAGAAGGATGGGACACCCTTCTGGAATCTATTAACTATAGCACCAATTAAAGACGAAGCAGGAAATGTTCTTAAGTTCATTGGGTGAGTTATTGCTAAAAGAAATTAATACCTGCATACATACTGTATTTTTTCCATAAATCAACTTACTTCTTTAATATTTTTTGCAGGATGCAAGTTGAGGTCAGTAAGCACACAGAAGGGTCTAAAGATGTGATGGTTCGTCCGAACGGTCTACCAGAGTCTTTGATTCGATATGATGGTACAATGTGATTTCTATCTTGATCCTGAATATATCATCTCAATTATGTTTAGAACTTGGTATAATTATGCACACCAAAATTATATCTTGTTTATGGTTTTGATTTTAGTTTATGTAAAAATCTTGCAGCTAGACAAAAGGAGAATGCCCGAAGTTCACTCTCAGAGCTCGTCCAGGCTGTGGAGCTGCCTGGTGCACTTGCAGACTCAACAAATCAAACATTTAGAAGGAAATCTGAAGGTAGTGGAGATGAGTTGATAACTGAAGCTTCTGGAAGGAAGACCTCAGAAAATAGTTCAACTGTTAGAGGCAATTCACGTAGCAATATGAGAAGTTTAACGCATAAGATGAATGAGATTCCTGAAAGAGTCAATAAATGGAAAAAAACAAGTCTCTGTACGCTTATGGGGTATGCGCATCGATCATTTTTTTATTGTTGGTTTTAAAAAGTAACACATCTTTGTTTATTTTAGCTGATTTCATACATTTCTTTATAAACTAACAAAGAACTTACGTCCTATATTTGTCTCTGAGGCTACCCTATGCACTTGAGGTGTTCAAGAATTTATGAGTAAAATTTTATGCGAAATCAGATTGTTTAGTCTATGTTGAATCTTGATATTACCTTATATTGTTCTCTCTTTTATTTTCCTGCAGACTTCTTGGAATTGGTCTGGCGAAAATGGATAAGAATGTGGAACTAGGTCCATCAGTGGAATTTGATGAGGAAAGACCTGAGAGTTTTGATGATAAAACAAGGAAAAAAGAGATGAGAAAGGGTATCGACCTTGCGACAACACTTGAGCGTATTGAGAAGAACTTTGTCATTACTGATCCAAGATTGCCTGACAATCCTATTGTGAGATATAAACTCCTCTTATTTCCCATTTAATTCTGTTTTTGCTCTAACGATTATCTATTTCCTACGAAGGAAATGAAAAGATGTTTATAGTTGATGTTATCTTTTATGTTTTTAGATATTCGCATCAGATAGTTTTCTGGAATTGACAGAATACAGCCGGGAGGAAATACTTGGAAGAAATTGCAGGTGAATATGAATAATGTACTCATTTGGCAGTTTTTTTATGCTCGGGCTAACCTGTAAAAATTTTATTGTTTGATATATTATTGCTGGACAATACAGTAGTTTCTGTATACACTTCGTTTTGTTCACAAAACAAATCATAAGTACATATGTTTGCAGTATGTTAAATCAACTTATAGAGAATAAAACTGTCCTGCTTATCTCTAAATTGTTATCTTTGAATATCTTTCTTAGATACCTAACTATTTTCTGCTTTTCCTATTTTTTTCTAGTTTTCTTCTTTGAATATCTTTATTCTTGATATTTGCAGGTTTCTCCAGGGCCCTGAAACTGACAGAGCAACTGTGAGAAAAATAAGAGAAGCAATCGACAACCAGAAAGATGTAACTGTGCAGTTGATAAATTATACAAAAAGTGGTATGCCCATTATTTTCTGTTAGAATGCTAATATTTATCTAAATTTTCCATTGGTGCTATGTTGAGGTTGAATATGCATTTTACGTCATTGTCACACCTTTTGGTATCCAGTATTTTTAATCAAAATCTTTGTTTGTATTTGGCTTCTGATGATGTCCTCAGTCTACCATTATTGGTACTCCATGAGTTTTTATGCCGGCAAATTCTTACGCAATGACAAGTCTATGTTCATCTCGGAAATCTGTAAAAGAGGAAAAATCTTAGGTTTTATTTAGAAAAAGGACATCAAGCGAAGCAATAGTCCAACATTTCCTTTTGCAATGTCAACGAGCGTTGACAACCTGCGAATGTTTTCTTTTATTCCTTTCTTTTCTTTTAACTTTGGTTCTCTTTGTGAGCTGCTGATCCTGCATATCTTGTCCTTGTCTCATTGCCTGGTTTCATTTAATGCTGTCTAGTTATTTGAGGTCCATTGAACTTAAATACCATATCAGCACTATTAATTTTGTTTATAAGAAAAGGTTCTCTTAACAGTAAAAGAATAATTTGTCATTTGTCATGTGGCTTAATATGTTTTCTCAAGCTTATCTTGTCACAAGCCACATGTCTTACTCACTCTCCTCAAATTCCTCTTATAACTGATATGTTCTTGATAATGAAAGTTTGGTACATGTTGTCATTATATTTAAATAACTTCCATAAAACGGTGTAATTTTAACCTTAAAAGAAGGTTGTATAATTTCCGATAACATAATCTAAATCATGTTTTGCTGAGATAAATGGTTAGTTGATCCCTTAATGATAACTCCTAGTTTTATTTGTATTTTCGGTATGACATTGGCTTCTCTGGGCAGGGAAGAAGTTCTGGAATCTTTTTCATCTACAACCAATGCGTGATCAGAAGGTATACTCTTGACAAGTTTTAGACTTTTGTTCTTCCTTCTACCAGCAATTTGATTTTTATAGGGTTAGTCTCATCTCATGATCACATCTATATGGAAACTTCTGGAAACAGGGTGAAGTCCAGTACTTCATCGGGGTTCAGTTGGATGGTAGTGAATATGTCGAGCCACTTCACAATTGTATACCAGAGACTACGGCAAATGAGAGTGCAAAGCTGGTTAGTAAATTTCTCTTGCATGATCAATCTAAAATGGATTCCAAAAAGTAGTACAGAACATTATATATTTTCTTTCAAATCATTAATGCTCTTCTTGTAAAAGAAGGGTTCCATTTTAGAAATGATTCCCTTCAAGTCACATTTTATATCTCAGTCCTGAAACAGAAACCTTATTGTTTTTTGGCATGTTATTTCAAGTGGGAGATGGCTCTGAGTTTTAAATTTGCTCGTTTTGAACTAAAATTTCAAAGTTTCCAGTTAGCCATTTACAAATATAAAGATTTTTAAATGGCTAATTGGATGTTCGACATTTGTTCAGTTGTATGTCTCACACTTTCTGTCATTCTACCTATTCTTATATATTAGCATTCTTATGAAATTCTACATTCATAGTACCCTCAAGACTTGAGCTTCACCTTTTTTTTTAATAATAGAATGATGTCTGGCTCTTTGAGTCTCATAGATTCATTTGGTTACTCTATGTCAGGTAAAACAAACTGCCGAAAATGTTGATGAGGCTGTCAGAGAACTTCCGGACGCTAATTTGGTGAGGTCAGGTTATTTTTTTTCCTTTGTTCAAGATAAAAGTTTAAAGTTATGAGGATTTCTTTTTATTGATGATTCAGAAACCTGAAGATCTATGGGCCAATCATTCAAAGGTGGTTATTCCAAAGCCTCACAAGAAGGATAATTCATCATGGAGAGCTATCCAGAAGGTTCATAATACTTACACCCAATTCTTTAACGTTGATGTTTGGCTATATGAGTTTAAGATTCAGAAACCTGAAGATCTATGGGCCAATCATTCAAAGGTGGTTATTCCAAAGCCTCACAAGAAGGATAATTCATCATGGAGAGCTATCCAGAAGGTTCATAATACTTACACCCAATTCTTTAACGTTGATGTTTGGCTATATGAGTTTAA